CTCCATCCTCTATTGGATGTGGAGGGGAACACTCTCACCAAGGATGAGAATAAGGCTGAGGTACTTAATGCCTTCTTTGCCTCAGTCTTTAACAGGCAGATAAGCAATCCACAAGGTAATCAGCCCCCTGAGCTGGAAGACGGGGACCGAGAGCAGAATAAACCCCCTGTAATTCAGGAGGAAGCAGTTAAAGACCTGCTTTGCCACTAGGACATCCACAAGCCTATGGGGCCGGATGGGATCCGCCTGAGAGTACTGAGGGAGCTGGCAGAGGAGCTGGCCAAACTGCTCTCCATCATTTATCGGAAGTCCTGGTCAACAGGGGAGGTCCCAGACAGCTGGAGGCTTGCCAGCGTCATGCCCATCTACAAGAAGGGCTGGAAGGAGGATCCGGGGAACTACAGGCCCATCAGCCTGACCTTGGTTCTGGGGAAGATTATGGAACGGTTCATCTTGAGGGCGCTTACATGACATGTGCAGGACAAGCAGGGACTCAGGCCCAGCCAGCGTGGGTTCATGAAGGGCAGGTCCTGTTTAACCAACCTGATCTTCTGTGGCCAGGTGACCCACCTAGTTGATGAGGGGAAGGCTGTGGATGCCATCTGGCTGGACTTTAGTAAAGCCTTTGACACCACCTCCCACAGCATTCTCCTAAGAAAGCTGGTGGCTCATGACCTAGACGGGTGCACGCTAAGCTGGGTTAAAAACTGGCTGGACGGCCGCGCGCAGACCGTGGTGGTGAATGGAGTTCAATCCAGTTGGCGGCTGGTCACAAGCGGTGTCCCCCATGGCTCAGTATTGGGACGGATCTTGTTTAACATTGATGATCTGGATGAGGGGATCGAGGGCTCCCTCAGTAAACTTTCAGAAGACATAAAGTTGGGTGGGAGTGTTGACCTGCGGGATGGTAGGAAGGCTCTGCAGAGGGATCTGGCCAGGCTGGATTGATGGGCTGAGACCAATTGTATGAGGTTCAACAAGGCCAAGTGCCAGGTCCGCGTGGGTCACAACAACCCCATGCAGCGCTACAGGCTTGGGGATGAGTGGCTGGAGAGCTGCCCAGCAGAAAAGGACCTGGGGATGCTGGTCGACAGCTGGCTGAACATGAGCCGGCCATGTGCCCAGGTGGGCAGGAAGGCCAACAGCATCCTGGCCTATATCAGAAATTGCATGGCCAGCAGGAGTAGGGGGGTGATCGTGTCCCTGTACTTTGCATTGATGAGGCCACACCTCGAATACTGTTGCAGTTTTGGGCCCCTCACTATAAGAAAGACATTGAGGTGCTGGAGCGTGTCCAGAGAAGGGCAACAAAGCTGATGAAGGGTCTGGAGAACAGGTCTTATGAGGAGCAGCTGAGGGAACTGGGGTTGTTTAGTCTGGAGAAGAGGAGGTTGAGGGGAGACCTGATTGCTCTCTGCAACTATCTGAAAGGAGATTGTAGTGAGGTGGGGCTTGGTCTCTTCTCCCAAGTAACTAGTGATAGGGTGAGAGGAAATGGCCTCAAGTTGCACCACGGGAGGTTTAGATTGGACATTGGGAAAAATCTCTACCAAGGTCAAGCACTGGAACAGGCTGCTCAGGGAAGTGGAGTCACCATTCCTGAAGGCGTTCAAAAAACATGTAGATGTGGCGTTTTGTGACATGGTTTAGTGGGCATGGTGGTATTAGGTCAACAGTTGGACTAGAAGATCTCAGAGGTCTGTTCCAGCTTAATGCTTCTGTGATTCTATAATTAGTGTATGAATAATTTTGCCATATAAATTCAGCTGCTGAAATACTAAAGGGTGTGGTGTCTGTTCTTCCTGACTTTTTTTTTTTATACTTGCTGAATTTATATAAGCTTATAATTTTGTAGCCTTTTTTCCATAGTCTGGAGCATGATGTTTTTTCTAAATAGTTTAGTTTTCTAGATGTTGGAGTAACTTTACACTTCAATTCTGAGTGTGGTAAAGATAATTGATGGAACCAGTGGAGAAGCTGATCTTTATACTCCATTTCAAAGGTGACCATCATCCTTTCTAGACTTTGTTGGGTTTTTTTATTATTTTGTTACAGCTGCATAAATTCTCAGAAGACTTTCACAATCGGATTTGTGAGTGGGTATAAAACTCTTAACTTTTTCTAATTTCATCATCCTGAGGCTTAAATGATAGTAAAGCAGTATTTCAAGTAATTACCCAGACTGTTACATTAGAGGAATAGGATATGCCCTGACAGGAATGAAAAAAGTAATCATTGCTCATCTTAGAAATAGTTTGTAAAAACTCTCAATTTTTCTGTTCTTAAAGTTGGTTTAAATGGTCTTAACTGGTACAGCACTACTGGATATTAAGTGAATACACTTCCTTTTCTAGAGAGTTGATAAGTTGGGAGAGAGGAACAGAAAAGGGGAGACAAATTTTTGGAGGATTTCTGTGGGTAGCAGTAAGAAATTATGGATATCTGCTCAGCAGTGTCTTAGTCAACTCTGTATGACGGTGTTTGGGCTATACAGACTTGGACTACTGTTCTGAGGATCAGCCTTGGTTTGTGACCGTAGGTAGTATTGGGCTAGTGGAGAGTTGAGGAGCTTGATTTTTCCTATAGACTGAGATTATGTAGGGAGGTAGAATTTAAATCCATACTGAAACGCAAAAATTATTTTCTTCTCTCCCCCTTTTTTTGAGGGGGTGTGCATATGTGTGTGATTTTAGTGAAACATAACAACAAGGTTTCAAGATATTTGTTCAAGCTGAATGAAGGTGATTTGGCGAGAGGGGGATCACCAGAATTCCTTATGTACAGTTTTGCAGTACCAATCCATCAACATTTTGATTATAACTAGTCTCATTTTGACTTTACTTTTTCTTCTCTTCATCTAATGATGCTATTTTTGGAAATTTCGCTGAATATTGAGGGGGAGCTGTCTGCCTAAAAGGAGTGATAGGAAGATGTGTGGGAGATGCGGAAAAATTAAATAATTTTTCTTGAAGAACAAAAAGGGGTGGGTGAAAGGGGTTTGAGTAAATAAGTAAAACCTTTCAGATTGTGCCATGAATTTTCTCAGTATTCGGAGATTCCCTTGCCTCCAAACTAAAAAGTGGCAAGGCTGTATGTAGATTTGTTTTGGCATGCGTTAGTCATAAGTGCTGTGCTTACGCTCTGAAGCAAAATAGACTTTGTATGTAAATGAGGTTTTGGAAAATGGGACTGATTTTGAATTTTGAAGGTATTCATAATTTCTTTTTGGGAAGGAAGGAGAGAAGATTAATTTGATTGTTTTTGTACAGTGGAAATTTGACCAATCTCTTGCAATTTTGAATAGCATGGCTGTACTGAACTTAAAATTTTATTGCTGTGTGTGCCTTTGTTGTAGGACCGTGTGTATGTGCAACAAAATAATGTGGAGAATGTCTACAATTTGGGCTTGATTATTTTTCGAGACCAAGTTGTACGCTATGGTTGTATTAGGGATCACCTTCGGCAAACTCTGCTGGATATGATTGCAAGAGAAAGGAAAGGAGAAGTTGTAGACAGGTAAGGTGTTTGTAAGTGATTGTCTTTTGTTGTAAATAATATATGTCAATTTTTAAAAATAAATCAAGAACATACACAAATAAATCATTACTTAAGGCTGCGTTTCTGATCACAAGTAAAATTTCTCCATAATCTGGCGGAACGTGTTTGTTTGTACGTTAAGGTTTAGCACAATGGTAAATGGGGAAGCTTGTTAATATATTTTTTTAATATTTATCTTTTGTCTTTTATTAAAATTTTTGTTAAATCCCTCCATTACCGCCTTGTGCCGCAGCATTTGGTTATAAAGCAAATAACAGAGTTTTGACAATTCTCTGCCTCTTGTTACCCTGTATTTCCTCTGTACTGAGAGGTGATTTAATTTTCTTGTACCTGGTATGTTTTATATTTTTGAAGTTTTCTTTTTTAATTCTATTTCCCTTCCTCATGTTTTGATCCATCTGTTTCTTGGTAGTTCAGTTGCATCTCTGTGCTTTTAAAACTGTTCCTTGTGTTCTCCGGCCAGTTTAGTAGATTTGGAGTTTTGTGCCACACACTACAGATAATGCAGCTGAAGACACTTCAGATTTGCAAGTTTTCTTGCGCTTCTCCAGTTTCAGAACAGCTGTTGGGTGTGGAGATACGAAAACTCCATGCTACTTTGGCTGCAGCTCTGTGACTGAAATTGCCCAACGCACAATTTATGAAGAGAAAAGCGTGCCTTAGCAACAGCTGTGTATTGTCCCCTACTGCCAGAAAGTGGCATTTTTCCTGGATGCAGTTTTTTTTGTTTTCACATTTTTTGATATGTTACTATGCCTAACCAAATGCGTAACTTGCTGATTCATTTTAATTTTGTGGTTTGGTTTTTGGGTGGGTTTTTTTGTTTGGTTTTTTTTTTTAAAAAAAAAGGAACAACCAGCCAACAAAAAAAACCCAATTTTGTACAGCCATTTCCATCTGTGCAATTGTTTTGAATTGCTTAATTCCAACCTACATGTGCAATTTTCAGTTTTCTTTGAAGTAGTATTTTTGATTATTTTCTCGAAATAGATTCCTAACAGTTTTCCGAGTTAGTAGAATGTGAGACCTGCTTCCCTATAATTGTATTTAAAATACTTAATAAACACTGTCATTTCCTTAGTTTAGAACAAAACCAATCTTGCTTCTGTAATCTTGAAAACCTGTCATGTATCAAACAGATTTGGGATGGACTTTCTGTTACTCTATTTTATTTAAGTTGATGTTGTGTTCTGAGTTGTTATTCTGCTGTGTACTCTGTCTTACAAGCATGTAGATTTCTCAAGTTGTTAACTTACTTTTTGGCAGAGGCGCAATAAGAAATGCTTGCCAGATGTTAATGATTCTAGGTCTTGAAGGAAGGTCAGTCTATGAAGAAGACTTTGAGGCTCCATTTTTGGAGATGTCTGCAGAATTTTTTCAGGTACAGCAATGTTTATAATATACTTGAAATTTTGTTATAACTGCCTGAAACTGTGAGAATTGGTGGTACTTTAAGAAATTGCTGCTTATTTGATGAGTATGTCCCTCTCTGTTAAGCAAAATAAGAAAAAAAAAAAATTACTAACTTGGTGGAAAAATTAACAGAAATTTTACAGAATGACCATAATTTGAATGTAGTTTTGAGCTATGGGTGCCAATAATGTGTAAAGTAATAATCATGCTAATCTTGTGCCTGCTTTGAGCTATTTCGTGCAACTTAGTCTATGCCTGCATTGCAGCCACAGTGTCTTTGAAATACCAGTAGCATGAAAGATTCAGACTGTTTTAGGCTGGAAATGGAGAGGGGAGATTGCCTGTCAAACTGCCTTTGAGGAAGCTTTGTTTCTTTCATAGTTTCTACATTTGTAAGTTTTTTGGTGGTTTCTTTTTTTTTTTTTAATAAAATTAACCAAGTCAAGGAATTAAGTGTATCCAAGTGGCTATCTAGTTGTTGACCAGCCACTGAATAATAAGTTTTAAATACTTTTTGTGAGATAATTTCAGGAAAAAAGCCAGTCGAATGGTTGTTGAGTGTAATCATGCTCATCTATTGTTGAAATTTGATAGAAATTGTAAAAGCATGTTGAAAGCTATCCAGATAAGATAATTTGTCAGTCTCCTGATTCTTACACAGGATCAATTGTTTGTCATATCCTCTGATCGCCAAACTTCTTTGAAAATCAGAAGCATATGTTGCTCAGCCATTTAAAAGTCATTGTATTCTGTTTTTCATTGGTGCTACATACAATTAAAATTACTTTCATTTAAGTTTTATTTCTTAACTCTGCCTTAAAAAAAAATTTTTCCTCCAAAAGACTATGCTGACAAGTATGGATAAAAACAGTTTGACGTGAAATAATGTGCTCAGCATTATCACTAACAAGAATAACGAGAACTGTTGATCCTCACAACTCATGAATATGCCATAAACTGGTATTTGAAAATAATTGCTTCTTCCCTCTCCCCATCCTTCTGTTTTCTGTGGCTAAAACTCTAGTTGGTAACTGGAAACTAGGTTATCTTAGATTGTTTTAGTATGAAAAATACCGTGTTCATATTGCATGTACTCCCTTATGTATGTAACACGATTAGTGTCATAGAACCTTTATTTTGTGTAAGCATGTATGTAAATCTTGGTATAGTGATCTCATTTGTTAGACATGCTGGGTTTGCTCTGAACTTGCTTATAAATGCTGATCTCATAACTAGTACATTTTCTTTTTCCCCTTTTTTAAAAAAAAAGTCTAAAGTATTAATTTGTGTTAATCACAGATGGAAAGTCAGAAATTTTTAGCTGAAAACAGTGCTTCTGTATATATAAAGAAAGTAGAAGCTAGAATTAATGAAGAAATAGAACGGGTGATGCATTGTCTGGATAAATCAACAGAAGAACCAATTGTGAAAGTTGTTGAGAGGGAGCTTATTTCCAAGCATATGAAAACTATAGTGGAAATGGAGAACTCTGGGCTAGTTCATATGCTGAAAAATGGGAAGACGGAAGGTAAGACTGCACCATATGGGAGACAGAAATGCTTATGATACTGCTTACTGTTTTTAAGCATAGGATAAGTCAAGCTTAACATTTGTGTTCCTGTGTCGTTGTTAAAACACTTTGATGGTTCTGTTTTGCAAACATCTGAGAACGTTACTTCAGAGACTTAGAGGGCTCTTAAAACAGAGCCTGTATGTATAACTTGTTTCTATTTAGTACCTGATACAGGTACTTTTTTGGTAAGCCAAGTATCTCTTTAAGAAAAGTACAAATCTGTTGTAGTGGTCTTCGTTACCTGTTTCCCGTGAGCCATTTTATTACTTTCATTCCTTTAGTGTGTAGCTATCAAAATGCATCAGAAGTTTTTTGGCCCGCATTTAAAAAGTGCTGGTGTAAATGACTTATTTAATAGAAGTATTGCAGGACCAGTTCTTGGGGAGAGGGCTTTGTTGCAGAAAAAAAAGGTGTCTGTTGTTAAAGGATAAGCAGCAGCTTATCGAAGTCGTTGAAAAAGGAGGGCTTGGCCTGACTTGGTTTTTCCTAGTAGAGGTTAATATAGGACAGAATGACTGAATGAAAGTTACTATGGAAAGAAATAGAACATAAGTTTCTAAAGCAGCATAATGAAGACAGTGATTGTAATACCTATATTTAGAAATTGGTGCTCGCACTAAAGCCATGAGAATGGGGAACAGACTTGCTGCTTAGAATAATGGCCTTTGTTCATTAAAGCATCTTCACAATTATTAGGTGATAGTCAGAGTGGCAAAGTGAGCAAATTTCTTAGCTGTAAGAAGAGAGAATTATTGTGTTGAAAAGGATAGTGATGATACCATACTTAACCTTTTTTTTTTTTTTAATATCCAGTTAAGATAGCCTTGAGGCTTGGGGTGCAAGGATATTGAAGGGTATTCATAAAATACTGGAATTAGTTTAACTTTTATAGGCCTTGGTTTGATTTAGTTAAATTACTAGAGTGGAAATACTTGCTGAATTGTGAACATAAGATTTCACATAAATATACAAGGTTGGATTGCTATTCTGAAAAGCCACGTTTAATCAGAGCCACTTCTCGTGGTTTTAGATGGATGAAATAAAGTAGTGTCAGATTTTATGGCTGACTTTAAGACAAATATGAATTAAAACTCCAGGTTTTACTTTTAATACAGAAACAGGCATCTCATTAGTGCTGTCATATTTGCTTCTTAGATTGTTCTTATAACTTTTAATACAGTATTTGATTTTTGGGATGATAGTCTTGGAAGCTACATTCTTAAATACCACTGGAAAATATAATCTTACTGAAGCTTTAAAGTGTACTATCCTTCAGTGCAAGCATCAGCTTCTGGCCTGGGGGATCAGCAACAGCAGATTCCATGCTATAGACAGAATAATTGAATACAATTTTTGGTTTTAATACTCTGCCCACTGCGATCAGCACGTTGTCAGGGTTAAAGGACATCAGAAGATTCTAGTGTCTGAGATGTTAAGACATGCTTGCTGTGGCTCACGTGGCTGAACTTTTGCTGTCGTCTTCTGTTATGAGATGAATGAGTTACAGAAGTACCGCAGACAGAGGATGTCCTGCCTAACATCTCATTCTTGTTTCCAGACCTTGCTTGCATGTACAAGTTGTTTAGCCGTGTGCCAAATGGTCTGAAGACAATGTGCGAGTGCATGAGCTCATACCTGAGAGAGCAAGGCAAAGCACTAGTTTCTGAAGAGGGGGAAGGAAAGAATCCAGTTGACTACATTCAGGTAGTTAAATATTTAACTTTCTTTTCTTCCAGCTTTGCCACATTCCCTAGAGAAGCAGTTAAGTACATGATTGATAAGATAAACCTTAATATCGGTTCAAAAGGTATTATTAATAAGCTACGTTTATAATTTTAAAATGTGCATTTGCTGCATTTTCAGTCATATTTAGAACTCTCCTTTTACCCAAGTTGCTTGAAAAGTACATGCTCAGGTTTTGTGCTTTTGGTAGCTGCTTTTAGTAAACAACATATTCAGGCTAATTATTTAACTGTTGGGAACTTTTTGATTATCCTAAATGATACTTGCCTCCAGAGTTGTGCATATGCTGGCAAATAGCTTTATAGTGTCTGTTTTGTTTAATTTTATATCGTGTTAGCTGTTAATGTTTATTGAGACAAAAATCACATGACAGTATGTCATGTCAAGATTAACTGTGACTGAGAGGTGAATGTGTTACAAATCCTAACAATTTTGGTCTCCCTGAGAAACAGAACACTTATGCATGTTAAAAGACCTAAGTGTTCTTTCTTATTCTCCATCTCTGTAAGAAGTGATGTGTACCATTAATTTATCAAGATCACAAAATATACTTCAGGAGTGTTTGTCATCTTTTGTCTCCCATTGTCTCTAAGAAGATGTTTTTTAAATTTGCACATAAAATCTTTAGAGTTCATAGAACTTAAAGGAAATGTTTTTATAGTCAGAAGATGTTTTATACTTCATGTGAAAATGTGTATTCATTAGATGTTAAGTTTGGGGTTTTTTAAATGTATAGTTGAAAGTCCTTGTGTCTGGTCTTTGTGAGAAACAGTTAATACTGTATGTCTGTTATCTCTGCTGTTTTGTTTGAAATCAGTAACTTTGCTAGTACTGGTTACTATTAGAAGAAGCCATTTGAGTATAAAAATGTTTGATTGTTTCAGCACTGCCAGAAAATTAATCCAAACTTCTTACTAAGCTTGGACAAGAATCACCTCTCCAAGGACTGCTAAAAAGAAATTTATTAGGTTTAATGATTAATGGCTGTTAATGTTTTTTGTGGTGGGAAAAAAAAAAAGAGAAAATAATGTGAAAAATAAGAGTCTGGTTTACTTTGAAGTAATTTCATTCCTTTTAAATCCTGATGGACCTAAAGGACTCTCATAAATTTAACTGAGAGTTAAAAACTTAATTATAAAGATGCTATCAATGTCTCCTGCTACAAAGGCAAATAGCGTAATGAAGCTGAAGACTACCTACAGCCATACTGCCTGTTCTTCGGCAGACCTCATCCTCTCAGCCCATTAGTATGTACCTACCCATCTCATGAAGATGTCCTAGGGAAGGGATTGATACATGATTACCATTAAACCCCCAAACAAATTTTGTCTTCCACTTCCATTGAGACAATGGAAGAAGAGAAAAATACTTGTGAATTAAGAAACCACCTCGTTCCTCTCATCTCGGCCTTGTTCATTTGAATCTTTCAAGGATTTAAATAGCAGTAAGAGGACAGACAAGGAAGCTGCATTACACAATCAAGAAAAAACTTCATCATAGTCCAGCACTGCTTCTGCAACATGACATCACCAAACTCTGAGCGTAATTGGTGAGATGGTTGCAAAAGCATTGCCAGGGGATTAGATTTAAAACTTTTTGTAATAATTTGAAGGGATGTTGCAATGCTTTTGTAATTTAAGGTACTAACAGTTTCTCCTGTTTGACACCAGGTTGTTCAGATGGTGTACTCCTGGAGAGGAGACATGAACTAACTCTGGTAAACAGAGAGATAGTGGGATTTACTTTGAATTTAAAATTTCTAATACGCATTAATTAGCCTGTCTAAAGACCATTCCTTTAAGTGAGATGGTGAGTTCCTAAGAAACATTATTACTTCTTTGAGTAATTCTTGAATGGCTTCTTTAAGTAACCACATATAAATAATCTCTTAAGAAACAGAGGACTTTTAAGATCGTTTAAGCTGAGCAGTTTTTGTGGGCAGTTGTTATCCATGATAAATTTAACTCTCAAGTGAAATTTTCTCCCCACCCCCAAACACTGTCTTAGTTGTGTCTAAACCCTGTGCGTAGCATATACATACTTAGCAAGGTGTTCAGGTGATTTTTAAGATGGTTCTCCCTTCTGCATTCAGTTGTTTTAACTCTGGGTGAAGATGGTGCAAACTTTAAAAATGATGTTAAGAATGTGATGATTTAGCTCAGAGGACACGGTTCAGTTGAGGCCAATCAACTTTGCACTGTGATAACTTGAGAGCTATTGCTTGTATCTAACTTTCTTATGTTCACAGTGACTCTTAAAGATTGTTAAGAAAAGTGCAACTAAATAATGCAGAACGTGTCCCTGGATTGAAATTAGAGGGGAGAAAAAACTAACAAGATTAGGCCTGTTGCAGTGTGTTCTCTGCTCAAACTTGTTCAGTAGCTGTGATCACTGTAGAGTGATACAGTTACTGGGTGCTTAGCCTCATCTTTCCCCTGTCCTGTATTTATGGTAGCGACTTTGTCAATGTTACTTGAAACAGAAAAGGCTTAACAAGTACAACAAATAACCTCCTTTAAGTTGTGGATTTAAAAATACAGTAAATCAGCCTGTTTAACAAGGGTTATTAAAAAACTTTCTTAATCTTTGAGTAGCCTGTTACAGCAAACTGCACCAGTATTTGATACCAATAGTTCAGCCAGTTTATCTGAAAATTGCTTCTATAAGAGATTTATGGCAGCTATAGATACCTAAAAATGCAGATGAAATTTCAGATACTTTCTAACAACGCCGACCATAGCTTTGCAGAATCTGTGACTGTAGATGTGGTCTTATCTATGACTTCATCTATTATTACTGTTTTACAGCTTATAACTTCAAATCAGTGAAACTGGTTTTGCCTTTTTTTTTTTTTTGGAAGGGTTTACTGGATTTAAAGAGTAGGTTTGACCGCTTTCTTCAAGAATCTTTCAATAATGATCGACTCTTCAAACAGACTATTGCGGGTGACTTTGAGTACTTCCTCAACCTCAACTCTAGGTCTCCAGAGTACCTCTCATTATTTATTGATGATAAGCTGAAAAAGGGAGTCAAGGGAGTAAGTATAAATTAAATTAAAAGATCATGTTCTTTGCTATGTAAACTTGGATAAAACTAAACTAAGCTACTTTTCTAAGAATTATTTTTGTATTAAGATAAATGGCCATACTGCCGTAAAAAAAGGTGTATGTAACATATCGGAGCTCATCACACTAAACTTCTAGTAATACAAGGCCCAAGGAGATCACAAGATGTTGCGTGGCTTATCCCCCATCTCTGAAGCAGTATACCTGGATTACTTCTGGCAGATACCACCTCCAAAAAACCCTAGGTTGTAGTAGGTTCTGCAGCTCCCTTTGCAACCTTAAATATCGTTTGCTTAAATATATTTATAGTGTATGGCAGTTACTCTCAGTATCTGGTCATTTCTTTTGAAAATTAACTCGCTTGGGTAGGGGAAACCGTTTGTCTTTGCTTCTTTTTCCTGTTTTTACGTATCGGAGGACTATTACTGTATCTGTCTCTTCTAGTTTAACTGTTTCCTTCAGTCTCACCTCATAGCTTCTTTCATGAAATTTTTTGAGGTACAGCACCCAGAACTGGGCAGGATGGTTCAACTGAGGCTTCAGTGGCTCTGAATAAAGCTGAATATTATTGCATGCATCTTAATGCTTTGGGAGTCAAGTAGTAAATTCTATTTATTTATAAAATAAGTAATCATTCTATTTAATGTGGTGCTAAACAGGCTTTGCAAAATTAGTCTTAACATGTAAAAGTTTTCGTTCCAAGCTAACTTTCCGTAGTCCTAATACTGGTTTCCATCTGTGTTGTTGGGGTTTTTTTAAATACTTAAAAACTTACCAGGAACTTTTGCTATATTTATCTAGGCATTCTATCCATCCATTATCTCCCTTCTTCACAATTGCTTTTCCTTAAATTTTAGATCTGTTTGTTTCTCCACTCGATTGTGTTTGTACGTTATTCTTTTGGCTCTATTGTTCACATGTTGGACCAGTTTTGTTGGCTTCTTTATAGGCTACTGCTAGACCATATGCTTGCTGTGAATTTAAGTCTTTAGGTTGTATAAGACACTTGTGCTAGAAGGTTAAAACCAGGAAATTATTTCTTCTACAGCTAACGGAGCAAGAAGTAGAAACTATATTGGATAAGGCAATGGTTTTATTTAGGTTTATGCAAGAGAAAGATGTTTTTGAACGCTATTACAAGCAGCACTTGGCAAGAAGACTTCTCACAAACAAGAGTGTTTCAGATGACTCTGAGAAAAATATGATCTCTAAATTAAAGGTAAGACTGTATCTGCATATTTTTACTTCATTTTTTTTATAAATACAGTTTCTTCTGTTTTTACATAAGGGATATAGAGATAACATACGTCTTGATTGCTGTTAAATACAGATTTGAATTTAAAGCCCCCAACAGAAAATAGGAAAGGCTTTTCTGAATAATTGTGTCAAAATAAAAGGAAGTAAGTACTGGAAGGCATCTGTCATGAGAGAGCAGTCTAGAAAACAGAACCAATTTTTCTTTTCAAAATGTCAGACTTTCCAAGTAAGAGAACAAGTTCTGTTATCTAATGACTAGATTTGAAGACAAGGCTGTTTTATCCTGGATTTTCTGTTATTCCCAGTAGAATTTTTTTTTATTGGATGCATTGTTATTTTTTTTGTTGCCTTTATCTGCAGATGGGTGATAATGCTCAATTCATGTTTGATTAAGTGGTTTG